TTTTTATAGGATAGAGGGAGTAGGTTGAAAACACTTGCATGATTTAAGAATTGATGTTTTAAATTCCGAGAAAATATTCACGAACAATTTTGAAAATGTTTTAAAACTTTGATAATTGTGTCATCTACGTTTCTAAAAATGTTTATCTTAAACTACAACTCGTATAAAGAGAAATAAAGGAGATAAATATTATTAAGCAATAAATTGAATCACTAAAAATGATTTAGTGGTAAAATAAGGAAAAAATAGTTTAGGGTGTTAAGTTATCCAGTATAGTTTGCGAGAGTAAAATGGAAAAACCTGTTAGATGATTTAAAATAAACAGTCAAAGCAAATCTGTTGCAGAAAGTTTTAGAACCCCAGAAAGTTTTAGAACCCCCCTTTTTGTTAAAAAAGACCACTTCAGCACGTATGTGTTTGAAGCAAATTAACATGTTTTTGTAAATTGTAAGTCATGTCTTTACCTTTTAATTTAGGAGTACATTGTTGACACCATTTTTCATTCTAGAAATACAGTTGTTGATCAGAGTCTAAACGTTACCTTTCCGAGTTTCGCTATATGTAAAAAAAAAAAGAATCTTATAATACGAATTCAATGAAAAAATAGAAAGGAGAATGGAGCCACGTGGCAACACCGACTTCGCGGAAGAGGCTCGATGAAACGATCTTGCGCATGCGCATGCAGCGATCTAGGAACGCTCTTGCGTGCGTGCGTGCACCGGCCATCGGGTGTCTAGAAGTTTCTTCGCGGATATATCGATCGAGCAATTAGGCCCATAGACCTGGCTCAGCAGGCCGTGCGATGGCACAACAACATGTTGGGTGATTTAGAGAGACCCAGCTTTACAAGGATGATGAAATGAGATATTATGCGTAAATGTAGGATGTTCTATATGCAAACACCCGTTGCATGCTGATCGATGCATGAACTGGTACATTCAGTAGTCCGTACTCCCTACTTTGCATGCACAGCTCCAATTAATTACCACTTTCCTTGTTCCGCATTATAAGATATTTAAGCCTTTCAATCCCCTTATCTATATTCACTAATATCCATATGAATTTAAACACATATATGAAACACATATGTTGATCCATGTATAAATTTATTCAAAACCCCAAAAATCTTATAGTATGAAACATAAATTTATTTAAAACCCAAAACGTCTACACATACATTGATCCATATATGAATTTATTCAAAACCCAAACATCTTGTAATATGAAATAGATTTTTTTTTCAAAACCCAAAAGATCTTCTATTCGTTTGGTACCCCACTTGGCCCAATGGCCTAGGCTCATTATACCATGCATGGCTTTTGCCATGCGCTTTTTCTAGTGAAACATGAAGAATAAGTCCATAGCAATCACTTGGATAATATTGGTTTAGCTAGTTTAGTCTGTGATAACTCTACATCGGTAATAACGGACTGATTCGATTAAACACGAGTATTTAGTGGTTTTTTACAATAGAACTTAGTAGAAGGTAGGCATTTACACTAAAATTAGTTATGAGGTGGAATGTGAGTGGTTTTTAGGATTTTTCCATAAAAATACTACGGATTAACTGAGCAGTCCCTTTCGTCCCAATATAGGAGCAGCTTTGGTTCTCTCGTCCGTTGGCTCGTCGCGCACTGCTGGAGGTGCAAACATTTTGTCGGCAAACAGGAGCCTTCTCCCCCATTCTCGACGCATCTAGCTTCGTCGGCCCACTTGTTTTGAACCTTCACGACGATGCCCGTTAGGCATCTTCCTCCCCAACCGAATCTCTCAGTAGGAGATACCCTACCTTCTCTCCAGTTTCATGATTAACCCAGTAGTAGGCGCCACGTCATTTCAGTTGCTTTCACTGTGATTCTCATTTTAAAATATGATTTATTTTATGATACTTTTTACGAGAACTTTTACTTTTCACTGTGCTAAAAGGTGTCAAGTTGACATAATAAATAAATTAAATGCTTAGTACTACTAGTCAAATGAGACAGCCAGATAAACAAAATCATAGTACAGGCCCACAACAAAGTTTTTGTTGGACCAACCCTGATCGAATTGTTCATCTAGTACTCCTGCTCCATTCGTCCCAAAATATAAGTATTTTTAACATAGTGATAAGATAAATATTTTTAACTTTAACTATTAATAGCAAAAAAAATAAAAAAATCAATCATGTAAAAATGATGTTACTAGATTTATCATTAAACAAACTATCATAATATGCAACTCTTTTTATTTAAAACATCTTATTTTTATAGACATTGTTGATTAAAGTAGCATATCAGAAACTGTGTTAGAGTCTAAAAATAATTATATTTTGGGACGAAAGAAGTAGTTAATTAACTCATGCCAAGTGTCGAAACCAGGACATGTCTTATCCGTAGGAGTGCTGTTTATTGATCCTGCTTTTAATGGCTCCTTTGGATTCGTACCAAATGTATACTACTACTCCTTCCGTATTACTAGAGCATGGCTAATGATTTCGCCGGCAGTCAGCTGCAACGTGCGCCAAATCACCACCGTGTGGTAACGGACCCACTAGTATTTAATGCACAGAAACGAGCCTAATCCAATAGCAGCGGCAGTAGCGCGTATCCGCCGGCCTCAAGCAGGCGCGTCACGAGTCGCCCGTCCAGTTCTCTCTCTTCGTTTCTCCCTCCTCCACGTAGACATCAGTCTGCTTACAGCCTGTTATAATACTTGCTCTTATAAGTGGAGCCATAAGTTTTCGTGCCAAACGTTTCACTGTCCATTTTATTTAAAAAATTTAAAAGTTAAGTCACACGTAAAGTACTTTTCATGTTTTATTATCTAATAACAATAAAAATACTAATCATAACAATATTTTAAATAAAACAGTTGATTAAAATTGGACACTAAAACCCACAACTACGTTTATTATGAGACGAAGGGTATAATATTTGGTTCTTTAAATAGTGTATATGGTGGTTTTATTTAAACCTAAATCATTGACATTGTCAATGTTCGATTTAATGGGCATGTTTGGTAGCCCGTGCTCCTGTGGTTACACACTTGCACTGTAACAGACATAGCACTAAGATACAACTATCGGTTTACTAGTTAATGGTAAAAATCCCATCAAGCCACGCCTAATAGCGCCGATACTTTCAGGAATGTACTTAAAGCTTGGGTTTAAATTGGTTTTAAACCAAATAGAAACTCTACCCAAATTGGCGGTATCAAAATTTACTAGGGACCTGTTCAGTTTGTTACTGCTTTTAATCTTACTAAATTTTGGCATTACAAAATTTGTTGTAATTCATTCTATTCAAAGGATCTCTAAAACACCTCCAGAAGGGAGCAAACAAACCCGGAGGCAGAGCTAATTTCTGGACAAGACAGACGGTTGCTTGGATTCCACCACTATCATCTCTATTACATATAACTGTCGATACCAATAAAAATTAGACGACAGTTAAAAAAAATTCGGGCTTAAGGATGTCAATCAACAGACCTGTTTACCAAAAGTCATGTACTAAAACCGTGGTCACCGATCGAGCCAAGCCAACCCCACTCCCCCAGCTGCCAAGCTACGCGCGAGGCAGGCGAGTGGCGAGCGAAAAGCAACCAAACACGCACGCTAGAGCACGGGCGATCGCCCCGCGCTGCCCCCCGCGATCGCCCCGCGCTGCCCTGGCGATCACCCCGCGCCTCCTCCTGTGCTCCTCTCTCTTCTCCCCTTTCTTCTCTTTCTATTACAGTACACCATAAAATTTTTTAAAAAAATAAAAAGTTAGAAAAATTTATGTATAAAAAATTTGAATTCAAATTCAAATTTAAAATGGGTATGTAAACTTTTGACTTATAAACTTTGGTCTATAAACTTTAGGTGTATAAACTTTAGATGTATAGAAATACTATATATAAAAAAAATTTGAATCGGATATATAAACTTTTTGACTTATAAACTTTTGTTCTCTAAACTTTAGATATATAAACTTGAGGTGTATAAACTTTAGGTGCATAAATTTACTAAAATAGGAAAGTAATGCGGTGCCAAAAAAGGAAACCAGGTGAAGGGAGGGAGGGAGGGAGGGAGGGGGAGGAGGGGCGAATTGATCGCTGCCCCCATCTCCAGGCAAGCGATCGCCCATCAGGGGGCCCCCGCTTAAGGGGGCTAGTGAGAGACGAATTAAATTTTAAAAAAATACATTTTATTTAATTTTTCTTAGGAATATTCGGGATGTAAAATTTTTTACAGAAATATACCGTCGGTCTCGCACAACCGTTACGCGAGATGACGTGGTAATGACGTCGCGGGCGGAATCGCGCGGCGAAAGCGCAAGACAGCGCGGCCACGGCGCGAGACCGAACTAAGCAATTATCGATACCGGTGCCAGACGGAACGACCTCGCTCAAGCAATCAGCGATACTGGTGCCATGCCGATTTAATTAGCGGCTAATTATCCTAATTATTGATTTAATTAATCACTAATTATTATTAGTTAATTAAGTAATTAAGCACTAGCTGTTGGACTGTGTCACTGTTTGATTTGGCAATACCGAACGGTCTCGCTCTTTCGTTCCGCGAGACCGTGCGGCCTCGTGCCTCGTACTTTTACCACGCGATACCACTCGTGACGTCACGCCCACTTTACTTTCGCGTAACGGTTGTGTGAGATCGATGGTATATTTCCGTAAAAATAATTTACATCCCAAATATTTATAAGAAAAAAATTAAATAAATAGTATATTTTCAAATTTAATTCAGCGAGAGGCCGCCCGAGAGCAGCGTGCGTGTTTGTCGCCTTCCCGCTAGCGTGGGACACTCGCGCCGCACGCGAGCACGCACGTACGTGACTCGCGCGCTGACGTCATCCGGGCTTCCATCCACCCGGTGCGCGACGCTGGGCCAGCTGGGGCCAGAGCTTACGTGGGCCCCCACCCCTCCCCCAAAGCTCGCTGGCCCATCCCCTCCTCTCCACGCGGCCACAGCACCGCCCACCTGAGCCGAGCCCGCTGCAAAATATCCCCCCCGCAATCCATATCCTCTCTTCGCCACCAAGCAAACCCGACGCGGCGCCCGATCTCACCGGATATTTTCGGCCAGCCACCGCCTCCCCTCCCGCGCGTACGCCGCGGCCGCCAAGTGGTGGCCAGCGGCGCCGCGCCCCGGTATCCCAGCCTCCGGGCCCCGCCGAGATCACCTGCCAAAAAGGAGGTCACGCGCGCCTCGCCACGCGGGGCGCCCGTCGCCCTCGCACAGTATGTCGGTTTCGAACCCGAAGCCTATAAATTCCGCGCCACCACCACCTCCTCCTCCACAATGGACCACAACACCGACCCTCCTCCGACCACCATGGTGGACGCCGCGGCGGCGCTGCTGCTGGAGCCCAAGCTGGAGGGGTACGACGACGACGGCGGCGGCGAGCCGCTGCAGCCGGCCCCGTTCGTCTCTCCGCTGGACCAGCTGATGCAGCCGCCGCGGCCGCTGGAGGCGCTGCTGCAGGGGCCGCAGCTGCCGCCGTTCCTGTCCAAGACGTACGACCTGGTGTGCGAGCCGGAGCTGGACGGGGTCATCTCCTGGGGCCACGCCGGCAACAGCTTCGTCGTCTGGGACCCCTCCGCCTTCGCGCGCGACGTGCTCCCCCACCACTTCAAGCACAACAACTTCTCCAGCTTCGTCCGGCAGCTCAACACCTATGTGCGTATCAAAATCCCCGCCCCTTCCCCATCTCCCGTTCCATACCAGCGTTCTTGCGATCTGCTCGTGATGGATGTACTCTGTTTTCCATTGTTACTCTGTTTTGATTACTCATGAGCTGTAGAATGCGGATGAAGATGCTGCTGATTTGCAACTTGTTTTTTTTTCTCTCTCTCGTGTTCTTTTGGGTTTTTTCCCCCTCTTGGTGTTGGATAGTATCTTGTAAATTGAACATGTATGTGGAGTTTGTACTGCTCCTTTTCTTTTGTGTGCGGAATCTTGAAATGTAACTCGAAAATGGATAACTGGATTAAGATGATGAGCGAAACAATCCTGAGGAATAGATCCTGTGATGGGCAAGCTTAATCCGTTTGCTGGAATTCGCCGCTCTCGTAATTGAAAGGTAAGCTCCACGATCCACATGTGCATACGCAGTTCTGTTGCAATTCTTGTAGGATCTAGGATTGGTCTGTATAGTAATAGTATTGTACTGCGAAATTTGCTCCTTCTTGCCCTGTCAAATGTTGCAGTGTTCTTTTTTTCCCTTTTCTTTTCGGTGTTGTGCCGCACTATGTGGATATGCCTGTTCTTCCAGCTCCTCTGCCCTCACAGGTTTGGTGTAGTGCAGGTGTAGGATTGTTTTCCGATGTTTGCGCAGTTCCTATCTAAATTTCATTCAGCATTTCTGGCAGTTTGCACAGTTCTGTTGTTGTATTGCACTTCATTTCATATATCATAGAACAGTATGCATTTGGTGCAGTCTTTTTGGCTAACTTATTTCAATCAACTCATGATTTGGTTATTTTAGGACAAGGTTTATTTCCTTTCTATTAGTGGGATTAAAAGGGGAAAGTGTGTGAGTATGCACAGTTTGGGTCAGTCCTTTCAACTACCTGGTTCAATAGGCATAAATTCTAGACTCATTACTCCCTAGTTTTCAAGTTGGGGACTAAATAGGAGAACAAATGCTACAGTTATTTGGTTGTTCTTTCAGTTGCACTGGCATCTATTCAGCCAGTTTCTTTGTAAGACAGTACAGTCAGGTTAGGAGACTACTAGTTCTTTATAAGTTCAGTTCTTGCTCAGTGATGAGTGCAAAATAATTTGTTGATAGAGTATTAGAGTTTAGGTAGGTCGATGACAGTCAATATCATCACATCATTGCCATTTTGACCGCACCAATTGCAATCCGTGTCGAATGCTTTCATGCTAACTTGTACTGCTCTGCACAATCATGGTAGATCTTCCTATATGCTACCTCTTTTTTCCTGTTATGATTTCCTTCGTGATGTACTCAGGGTTTTCGCAAGGTTCATGCTGATAGATGGGAGTTTGCTCATGAGGATTTCCTACGACATAGCAAACATTTGTTGAAGAAGATTGTCCGGCGCAGGTCCTCACCAACACAACAAAGTGGTCTTCAGCCTGGCTCTTCTGGTGAATCCGGTTTAGACCCTGAACTCAACACACTGAGAAGGGAGAAGAGTGCATTGCTTCAGGAGGTGACCAGGCTGAAGCAAGAGCACCTTCAGACAATTGAACAAATGAGCACGCTGAATCAGAGGCTAGAATCAGCGGAAGATCGGCAGAAACAGATGGTCTCTTTCTTGGCCAAGCTCCTCCAGAACCCAACTTTCCTGAGGCAACTTAAGATGCACAGACAGCAAAAGGAAATCGACTCCACCAGAGTGAAAAGGAAATTCCTCAAGCATGTACCACATGGCAACATTGACTCAGGTGAGTCCAGCTCACAACACACTGGAGAGAGCAATTTAGATTTCTCCCCTACGTCCCTGGACCTTCCAGCCACGCACAGTGACATCTTAGACCTTCAGAATTTTCTTTTGGAAGATGGGGACCTCAATCTTGCCATGCTGCCAGAGAACATAGGACTTGATGGAATCGAAGCACCAGACGACATCGGGGCGTTGGTTCAGGGATTTGACACACAGGAGGAACTTGAGCTTGGTAGCGGAGTTGAGCTACTGGAAATACCTCCAGCTTCTGGTCCTCGTGGCCAAGATCCCACGATTGGCAGATCCAAGGGAAAGAATGTATTGTCTCCAGGATTGGATGCTACCTCTTCTGAAGCTGATTGCCTCGGATCATTTTCTGACAATATGGGGATGCTTTCTGACTCCATGTTACAAACAGCGGGTAAATTGATGGATGCAGATGATGACGAGCGAATTTGGGGCGTCGATGCTTCGTCGGCTTTACAAAGTTCTTGCAGTGGCACTAGTCAGCAAGCATATGGTAGTCTTGTTAGTGATCCCTATCTGATGGAGATGGCTAATAAGCCTGAAAAATTCTGGGAGCTCGATTTTCAGGCACTGGATGATGGAGATCTGCAGCTGGACAAGTGTGTTATCGATGACCCTGCTCTTCAGCAACAGAGAGGAAATATGAATTCGTAGATCAAACGCAGCTTGGGAGAGTAGGACCTGATGTTTTATCTACCTAAAAACTATAGTTCACTATGAACATTGCTATAGTTATTTGATATTCAGGAGGCTTGTTAACTCCTGAATATGCGCACTATGGCATTAAGAAGTAGCAGTAGCAGCAGTAGTATGGTTATGCTTTTTGTTTTCCATTCATTCACCCTGCTGTTTTTGAATGGAAATTGTTGTTGTGTGGTTTTCTCAGAGCCTCAGAGCAGCTGCTCTGGCCATTTTTTTTCTGTTGCCATTACAATTTATCCTCTTCTCTTTTTTTTGTTTGGCTAAATGCCATCAAATGAACAATGGAACTGAACCTTTTTCCCATTCGAAAAAAGAATGGATTGAAGCATCAGGTTTACCCCCCCAATCATCATTTTTTCAGGCTATTATCATTGTCCCCATATTTTTGACAGTGTCATGAAACGAGCAATTATATTGATTTTCTCACATTCTGAAGAGCTTTTGATAAATGTGTTGGTGTTGGTTTGTCTTGCTTTCACTGTGTTGTGGCGCAGTCATATGCAAGACAGAGTCAATTTGGCAGTGCATGTGGTCCCTGTGCTAGGACTCAATCCTTGCCTCACAAGCAGAACGTGGAATGCATTGTTTCTAGTGGGTACCTGAGGGATTTAGGGTCTGTTTGGTTGCTGCCCTGAAGCAAATTCGCCTGAGCTGAAGCTTGCCTGACATTTTCATTGGTCTGTTTGGTTCAAGTCCTGAGAAGGTGCTGGACACAGGCGTGGTTGCTCAGGCTCAGGCGCTTGAATTGGGTGGCCTGACTCAGGCAACCGAATTAAAGAAGGTAGATTATGTGAGGTTGGAATATTCTAGTTGCATGGCGTCATTTCAGAATGTTTACTTGTACTAACCGGTTGAGAATGCAATATTTTATATTTTCTTGTTTGCTTTCACATGGTTTCATGCTCTCAGGCTCGTTTCTTGTCCAGGGTACCAACCAAACAACAAACCCTCTTATATGCCTGATCAGGGAAAACATTTTATAAATTTTCTTCCACCCAGGCATGCTTTTTTCTCAGGCTCATCACTCAGGGCACCAACCAAACAGGCCCTTAGACATTTGTAACACGATTCAATCTCATTCGCCCGCATGTTTCGAATTATGAATGTTGGTAAGGTTCATGCTAGGCTTGTTTGGTTTATCACCGATACAAACTCTGGCGATTGCCAAAAGAATTTGTCAAGAGTGTCCGTTTGGGTTTTTTCAGAAGTGTGGCCCATTTTTACTGTTTTAGACTTTTAGTTGGGTTCCAGAATTTATCAATGCCAACTTTTTAATGGCAATAAACCAAATGATCAGTAGCTCAGTACTAGCGCTAGTGCTACCAATTTTTCAACATGGCAAGTTTAGGCAGAGCAGGTCCTTAGTTTTTCCCTCTGGGTTGTAAGTTGCTGTTGTGACTTGTGTGACAGCTCTATTTACTGAGCCATTGTTCTATTTTGTGTGACCTCGCTTCTTTTCGATTCTGGATGCATAGTAGAGCACATGCTTTCAACAATATAAGTACTGCTAAGCTTGAGAGTGGAGCAAGGCTACGCACTCAAACTTTTCTGAACCTCTATTTTGGCCAATAGAACCAAATAATTAGCAATAACCATACTTTTGCTTTGGTTTCTACTTCCTCCGTTTCACAATATAAGTCATTCTAATATTTTCCACATTCATATTGATGTTAATGAATCTAGACATATATATCTATCTATATTCATTAACATCAATATGAATGTGGAAAATGCTAGAATGACTTACGTTGTGAAATGGAGGGAGTAATATCTAATAATCCATCCGTCTCAAATATAACAAACTTTTAGAGTTAAAATTTTAATCAAACTATAACGATATACTTATAAAAGTTGACTCTTACCACTAAACTATCCATACTACCCCTACTATATATTGCCCTAACTAATTCGGACATATATCTCACCAAAAAGACAACTAAGTCTTCTTACCTATCTTTAATACTAATGCCAAATGCTAAAATTTACTATATTTTAGGACCCAGGCAGTACATGCGAAATCGAATTTGATTTTGGTTTGTTAAACCTAATAACCAACCATTATGGATGTGAGTGGAGGGAGGCGTCCTTTTCCTATATATCCTGGATAGATATTCTCTGTGTTCGCTGTTCCCAGATCCTGGATAGATAATATCTGTCTTGCTATGTTCAGCTGCAGCTAATGCGCATATTTAGGGTCTATTCACTTTGATGTCATTTTCAACCTTATAAAATTTTAGTAAAATTGCACAAAAAAAAATTGGCTACATTTAGTTTGCTGCCAAATTTTGGTAAGTATATAAGAAATCCTGCTAAAATTTTAGCAAGTATACCAAAATTTAGTAAGATTTTTTTTTTATCAAAGTGAACAAGCCATTAGTACATGTTTAGAAGGAAGTACTCTCTATATATATGTTTAAAAATATAGCAACTTAGAACCGAAATTAGATTGTTATATTTTGGGACGAAAAAAGTATTTCACATTGGAGTCCTAACTTTTGAAGTAACATTTGTTGCTTCTGATATAACTAAACACGCAAAGCTTTTGTGTGGTGGCAAAGAACCCATGTTGCCACTTGTCAGTGACAAGTGTAAAACCTCACATCTGTATATACTACCAATAACCTAAGAAAATATAAACACCCACGTTAAATCTAGATTTTAACCTAGTTAGCATCACAAGAAAAAAGAAACCTAACAACCGAGCTATGAACCATTGCTCAGATCACTGTTTGGTCTACGATCCTCTATCAATATGAACTAAAGAAATGAAATAAAAGTATACTCTTAGTTGAATGATATGGACCGGCTATACTTTGAGAGGCAAACACGTATCCCTAAACTAAACTCTGTTAGGCTCGTTAATACTGAATCATAAAATACCATGTCAGTCTAAATTTTTGGTTAAATGTACTTATGTATCCAATGCTCCCTCCATCTTAAGCCCAAATTTATAAAAATTGATTTATTTTAGAACAAAGAGAATGGCATTATTGGTTGAATGACTAGCATGCCTCAGGCTCCCAAATCTCAAGACTACCAACCATCAGCTGTATAGACAAGGTAGTAGAATAATATGAAGGTCGAAATCTCTCCGAAAGTATGGAAATTCTCATCCCCACAATAGAAAATAATCAATCTATCATTGTATCGACTCTCTGATAGGCACAGCCCTACAGCTAAAGCCACAACTTAAAGTTTACGCATGGCATGTGTTATGGTTACGGAATTTCCGGTTCATCTGTCCTTAGTTCATACTCCAGCAAAACGTGCATGCAGATTCAGAGACTAATGTTGACGCATCGTTTAGCCTGAAAAACATGTTTATCAGGCTGATTGGGAGTGGCACAACTGGCAGACAGTACTACCACCTAGTACATCATTTCGAAAATGGACAAGAAAAAATGGAGATAGGTAAGCCTATGGACCGGAGTACTATCTTGCTCCTCTGTTGTTTAGCAGCCGCCATCGTCGTCATAAATAGCCCCGCCCCCCACACTGACACAGGGAGAGCTCCACCGCGTCAGTCACGTACTACTCGCGCGCTGCTGTCGCTTTTCCCCAGCGCGCGGTTGCGCGTGACCAAAATGCCTAACCAAACCAATCAACCCCAACAAACCTTCGGCAACCAACCTGCGAGCTTATCCGGCCCGGCTAATGGCCAAATGAGTCAGGTCAGGTGCTCACGGTCGATCTGGCCGACGAATAGTCGGATATGCCGCGTAACCTCGAGTGGGTGTCAACTATCAAAGATTCTGCTTACGCTTTACGGCATAGTCCTAGTCCCTCCGCGTTCTATATGTTGCAATATTACAAGTTATTTTATTTAGTTTTATCCTAAATCGTTATTACAAGTTCTTTCTTTTTAGTTGATTTAGTTCATCTCCGGCGTGCGGCAAGGTGGCGCGGCAGGCGGCGGCGGTGGCGGTAGGCCCACATGGCGCAAGATGCGTGGCTGGTGATGGCGAGACCGACGCGGCGCGAGCGTGAGGACGTGCGTAGGAGGCCGGCGAGGGTGGCCGTGTGGCGGCACATAGAGGTTGGCCAACGGGGGACGCCAGTACAGCAAGGCCTACGTGCCGACGGAGGTCAGACGGTGGTGGAGCAATGGTGTCTCACTGTGTATTAGCAGGCGACAAGCGGCGGGTGAAAACATAGCCCGGTTTTGGCTAGGCCGATAATGTTGGCGTTTCCGAGCGTCGCTTCCCCTCTTGAGGGCATTGTGTGCTGTCTCATCCCCTCTATCGGGGCTGTCGGGTGAAAACTCGGTCTCGGTTCTCTTTGGGACCTCGACGGACGGCGGCGCCGCCGCTTTCGTCGCTTCTTTCCCAGGAGGTATCGTCTAGGCAGTCTCTTGCCAAAACCTCCAAAACAATGGATACAAGCTCGCTCTAGACTAAGTCCTCTTGTGTCGGTGTCCTAATTTATGCAGGTTGGCCACGTTGGATGGTCTAGGTGGAGAGCGGTTCCATTCTTCTCTCTCACCATTTCTCCCTCAACTCCAAAGATGTGGATAGAGTGGAGTTTGGTATCGATTGAGTTTTGGGCGATCCCAGCTGTAGTTCCTTTGTTGGTCTAACGACGATTGGCCACGCTTAGTGGCGGCCAATCCGATGGTAGCTTTCTCCTGGGTTTATGTATTGATATTGTCGGTACGTGGGTGGTGGCTATTTTTCTTTGTTTTCCTAGTTACGACCTGTCAACTTTTTTTTATGCTCTATCAATATGAACTTCACACGGTCCGAAGCGAGTTTGTAATCATGTAGTATTTTTTTCTGGTATATCAATATGAATTTCATATTGTTTGGTGCGAGTCGTTAAAAAAAATGTTTCTCTGTAATGCTGGGTACAAATTGGGGAATCGTGAACACCTCCGAGGAAATCCAAAGGGAGGTCCAATTAACAGCTGGCATACGTGCCGTATCACGGTAAAAATCACGATCATCTCCGGGCTTAATAATCGACGTGTCCGCCCTGGCTACACTAGCACCACAATGGTGAGGCCGTGAGGGTGATCGATCGTACTAGCGTAGCGTGCTCCACGCGCGCCAATAGACCTCAGTCGCGAGCCGCGATCTCACACGGCTCCTAAACCTTACACTTGTCTCCGTCCGAGGTGGTTGTGCGCGGGCCACCTCACACGTGGCCCCCCGCGGCCCCCCCCCCCCCCCCCCCCCCCCCCCTCAATAATTGTACACGCGCACCACAAACCGACGGCTTCGCTTCTCTTCCTCCCTTCTTCGCTTCTCCCTCTCCTCGTGCACGCCCAAGTCTCCTCAGAGGCTTTATATAAAGAGCAGCTCGAGTCCGAGATTCTCCCATGCCATGAATCGCAGCTCACTCCTCTGCTTCCTTCCTCGCTGTTTGCTTCTGGTTTGATTGATCGACGATGGAGCACAAGGACAGGCAGCGGCATGCAGCGGCGGCGGTGGCTAAGCCGCGGCAGCGGTCGGCGTCGTTCCACGGGCGCGGCGAGGCGGAGCAGCGACACTCGCTGCTGAAGCAGCGGCCGCGGACGCAGCCCGACCTGCTTGCCGGCCTCAGGGGGCAGAGCTTCCGGCGAGGCGGCGGCGAGGGGCGGGCGCCGGCGGGGCCGAGCAGGGTGCTGCTGACCGTGGCGGTGCGGCAGAGCATGTGGCCGCTGCACGTGATGGCGCGCGCGGAGTGGAGCGTGGCCGACCTGGTCGCCGCCGCCGTGGAGCTCTACATCCGGGAGGGGCGCCGGCCGCTGCTGCCGTCCGCCGACCCCGCCGCCTTCGGACTCCACTTCTCCCAGTTCAGCTTGCAGAGTACGTGACGCGGTGACGCCTCTCCTTCTACTGCTTATAGCTTTAATCACCTTCGTTGCCGGCGCCGGCGACGGCGAGAGCTCCTCCCCTGATCGGAAACGGCTGTCGTGTTTTTTTGAGCGTAGGTTTGAACCCGGAGGAGAAGCTCATGGAGCTCGGCAGCAGGAGCTTCTTCCTCTGCCCCAAGGCCGCCGCCGCCGCCGTGGCTGCCGTCTCGTCGGGCGAAGACACCGGCGGCTTGTCCGGGGAAGACGAGGCCAACTCTGCCAAGAAGCCCAGCGTGTTGGCTCCATGGCTAGGGTTCCTTCACTTCTGGCCGCTGCTGTAGGTTATAGTACTAGTTAATACTGCCATTTGTGTAGGTCACAGTAAGCTGCATGTATCACCTGTTTTTTTTGGATAATGGTATGCAGCATCTGTGAACTATGGTAATCTTAGTTTCTTTTTTCTACTAAATGTATATATACATTAGTGTTTACTAAGTGAAATTATACTGTTACAGTTTTGGAGATCCGATTTGTTGTGGCTCATAATTGGCATACAAAGTCGAATTGTTCATTTGGATGTAGCTGCAAATTGTACAATGCGAACTTAGATTCTGTATGAGATTGAACATATACTGCCCGCATGCAAAAGTCAGACGCTTCAATCTCCTTCTCTGGGGAATCCAATTCTATTTTTCTACAAAACTGTCAATTCTCAGAAGAGTACTTTTATTGGTCCAGAATAGTTATTGGTCCTAATAAATATCTGATTAACACGTCTTGTAGCCATCTTTTGCATCTAATACTGAAAGCAAGTGGAAGAATGATTGGCACTAGTATATATTATCACCATGGCAATGCACATCGTTTTCCATGTTGCTTTCGGTTATTGTCCCACTCGGTGAAACGTCTGGGACTCTTGGTCGGTTACGTTACGGGTACCATTAATTAAGCCCATGTTGTACATACATATGCAATGAATTACCTCTTCTGTCAGCTCTCAATCTTTCTTCCACGCCACTATTCATACATATTAGTATACACAAGAAAGGTATACAACAACAGCAAAATGCCAGAAGGCGTATGATATCTGAATTTCGAGTTTTTGCAACATTTGGAATTCTTACCCCTCGTTTTACCTTCCTATTCTTGGCTTTCAGTAAACGAATGGCGACTCTTGGTTTGTCAGGAGAAAAGCATCTTCAGTTCTTCTATACGTGCGCTGCGTACTTCCTGATCTGTCAAAGCTCCAGAAATCATTCGCTGCTTACGAGCCTGCACAGCCTCCATTCGTTCCTCGACAGTGCCCTGTGTCATCATAAACCATAATTAAGAAAGTATGGCAATGAAGATTTTGCATTATGTTGACCAGATTCAGTGTGTATTAGTTAAGCTATTTCCATCTTCTCAAGTCCTTGAGCAAATGGCACAGGTTCTGCGAGTTATCAGAAGACTAAATTTAACAAATGGCACCTACAAAGTACCTTGACGATGAATCTTTTGATGGAAACACTCTTTGTTTGACCAATTCGATGGATCCGCATGATAGCTTGTTCTTCAACAGCAGGATTCCACCAAGGATCCTGAAGGAAACATGATTACGATACACAAATGATGCTAAGAATATGCTAACACGGCAAAAAATTAGTAGATCACTATAGCACAAGAAATGTATAATGTTTTAGTCGGTAGACCAATATAGGCTGTTATGAGCCCATAGGATTTTTCACCAACGGATCTCAGCAAAAGTTTTACCTTATGCTAGCCTTATAAGCATACACTGTAACATTAGAATAAAGACATATGTATGGACCATTTCAACGTTGGATACTATGAGCCACTTTTGTAGAAAAATCATTCTTTTGAAAAGTAAAATAGTATCGTATAGTTGCCGTTACATCACAAACTTTACGACATTATCTGGTGTAGGATATATGTAGTTCTCCTGTGTATTCTTGCTAATCAATTTTGAGCATTTCAAAAAATTCAAAATACTGTTATATTGCAGATGAAACAAAAATGATTGGTTGCAATTATTTTCATTTCCTACTAGCTGTTTGTCTGATGAGTTTCTATGCTTTCTAATTGATTTTATGTGAATATGTTCCAGTGATTTTTTTTTTGTAATTCTAAATTAAGTGATCAGTTAGGATTGATAAAAGGGTTAGACTGTTTTCATAAACTCATAATTGTGAACTATAGAGAAAGAAAAAGTGTTTTATTAGTATGGTTTTATACTAAATTCTTAATCTAGATAAACCAGATTTTAGGTGGTTAAGCTGTAAAACTAGTAAACAAATCTAGTTCTACTTATACTCGAGATTCAAAATCTCATAAGGTTGCTTTCAATCAGGATAGTGAACCTCGTTAACAATAAATATGAATAGTGAAGATTAGAGTAGGAAGACCAAAATTCTAATCTCATAAAAAAGGAAGTTATAGAGCTCCAGTATACACAACTATATGTTTTAATGCCGAAATGTTTTCATTCAGAAACTGTGCACAGAGAACTTGATGGTAACATACCATGACAAATGCATTAGATGCAGCAGTTAGGTTTATTCCAACACCACCAGCTTTCAGGGACATAAGCAGAACCTGCATAAGTCAATTGCTATGAATATACTTCCATATCTCTACTATTATAAAAATTGAAGATGTTTTTGCTGGTATTTTGGTACGTCATCCGTGTATGAGTCAGTTTTTAAGTTCGTTTGCTTTTGGAAATATATATCCGTATTTGAGTCAGTTTTTAAGTTCGTTCGTTTCTCTACAATTATAAAAATTGAAGATGTTTTTGTCGGTACTTTGGTACGTCATCCGTGTATGAGTCGTTTTTAAGTTCGTTCGCTTTTGGAAATACAAATCCGTATTTGAGTCGGTTTTTAAGTTTGTTTGCTTTTGGAAATACAAAAGGAATTGTATAGGAAATCTCTTTAAAAACTCGCATGCTAACTTGTGACGATCAGATTCCTAATTGCAGCTCATGATTTTCTAACAAAATATATATCCAAGCGAATTTAACAGTGAATTTCATCTCAAATAAAACATATAACAATAATAAGATTAAAATAGCCTTCACACGCACGGGCATTTTTTCTAGTTTAACGAAAATATTAGATACTTCTGTTTATAGCGCCACATGCCCACATCTACCAAGAAGAGTTAAAGTGAAGCCAATAGATATAATAAAAGAAGAGCATACCAAAATGCTTTTGTCCTCAGAAAACTCCTTGATTACTTTCTCTCTCTGCTGAAGATTCAAGGTTCCATCCAGTCTAGCAAATGAGAAATTATGTCTGCCATGCAAAAACCCAAAGACTAATTGGTACCAAAAAAAAAAAATCAAAGGTAGACCCGGTTGCTACAATGAAAACATAAAAGATCCATATAGAACTGGACTCAAAATAACAGTAGAGTTCCTCCAAAGAGCCATGATCAAATACTTCAAGTATGTCACAAAGGAGCATTTGATAAACGGTTAATAGACTGTTGCCAGTGTGATAACATGCTCATGAATTGCTGTCTATGATACGAAATTTAAGAACAAAATTTGCTATGTTAAAATATGTAACAAAACTATGATACCCAGATGGGCCAATCTGGGTACAGATATGCAATGTGGCAATACACCATTCCCCAAAACACCAATATGGTACCTGGTACTGATACACGAATTTTCATAGTATCCATGATTTGGAACAACAAAATTTTCTGTTGCCCTTTTAGATAATATTATAATTAATTCAACTAGTCATCAACCTGTAGTACAGTATAAAGAGATCTAAACTAAATTTTATATTTAGTGAAAAGGACTCAACAACTTCTTGCTTGCAACAATCAACCGAATATGAATCCATACTGGAGTCAAGTCCTATACGTGTTGCAAAAAACCTATTTGTTTGTCATCACTGCATGTATTATATTATATCAAATCTTAGCCGTAGATGTAATAAATGGGTGCTTCTAGCTTTTCTGATTAATGGGAATTTCTAGCTTTGTGGGGGCCCAATTAGTATAAAGAAAGAGGCCAAAAGAGTTGTCATCCAACCATTTAAGGAAAAATAAGGGCTTGATACAGGATCAACAGGTTAGAACGATCCAGACAAGTCACATGTCCGAAAGAGTTTGAAATAAAGAATATGAAAACTATCACGCACAGAGATTCCAGCAGTAAGGAAAAAGAGAAACATGATGCACAAATGCTGGCCTATAAAGTCTGGTTATCTTAGCAAGTAAATAATAGCCTCATGACAGATCTCTGAAATCTAATACTCTAGTTTTTACCTGGAAAGTGGAATTTGTAAGAGATCCAGAAATGCAGTCCACTGGCTAAAAATGATGCTCTTTGCACCAGAAGTGCGAAGAACTTCTAGCTCCTGTAGAAGGAAAGAAATCTTGGAAGACTCAACCCAGTTCTTCTCGACATCAATTTGAAAACGATTGTCAGTTGGAGCAGTAATAAGATCCTGCTTGCTCATAGACTTTCTGTAGCAGTGGAATCAAAAGATAAAGATCAGAATATACCAAGTAAACAAAATTCAGAGATAAATAAGGAACAGTGAGCATAATCTACCTACAGACAGGACAAAGGCCTGCTGATGCACTCCGCCAACTAGACAAGAGACATTCTCGGCATAAACGGTGAGCACAGGGAGTCAATACAGCATCCTCAAAGGCTTCCAGGCATATGGGACACTCCCCTTCACCTTTCTGCAGTTCCTGGACAACTTCCTCAATGTAAGCTCTGGAGGGAAGAGAAGAGTCACCATTCACAGCACCATTACCACCATGCAAGAAACGCTTTGCAAGTTTGTTTAGGTCAGCAAACTCCTGTGTATCTCCACGACTGCCAACATTGAAGCTCTCATCAGAAAATAACCAATGGCAACAAATAGATAATGTAGATAGCAACTTCTAGATGAAGTTATTGCCTGCATGTAGGATCAAATGGACCCAAAATTTTCAGAACCTATTACTCTGGAGAGCACAAATGCATTTATCTTTGTTTGGTGAAAAATCTGGTTAAACAGGCTAATTGTGACTTCTGAAAACTAACCTAAGAACAAGAAATGGGTGGTCACAACACTGCCGAAGGCGCAAAAGCAACTCCAAAATTGAAGCATAATTGTGCAAGACCCTTCCTTGTTCCACGAATTGATCAAATTTCACCTATCAAAGCAGAACAAGACTATCAATTTGTCTCTCAGAAATCCAAACGAGTAGAACTTCTTTGGTTGAAGATGCATTACCTTAGATCGTCGAAACAGAGCATCATAGAAATCCTTCTCAGTCTCTGACAAATCACAGTATTTGACTTCGATATTTGCTGGGGGTAAAATAAGGATTGGTCTGCAAAAAAACAGAAGTGTAAATTACAGAGCTAAGGAATTGAAATATTTCATAGACAAGGTCGAACATGCCTTCCTTCCTTGTCTGTGCTGTTTTTATTCCTTCTCAACATTATTGGCTTCAAAATGGACTGTACTAGCTTTAAACCTCTTTCATCGCCTTCTTCATATGGTTTTTGCACAAGTTTATGCCACCTGAATAGCATAACGATAATAAAATTCGTGTATATGGGACAATAGTAAATTTGAAATTTATTGCAAGGTACTCCCTCCGGTTCCATAATTCTTGACGTTTTGGAAAAGGTTGAGGTCAAACTTTTGTAACTTTGATGATCAATAACTTTAAAAATATTAAGTTTGAAGGAACTAGAACAACATATATAGACATGCATTTATTTATTGTATATATTATAATAGGAAAACAAAGTCAAAGACATTTTGGAGACCGTGTCATTGTCCAAAACGTCAAGAATTATGGAACCGGAGGGAGTAAGGGCTAACAGAATATACAAAAACTCTACAACATCACAAGCATACTTCGTTTGCGCAAAACAGCAGATTCAGGTCAGCAAAACAAAATGAAGTGCATAGCCAAGTTAATAAATGGAAGAAAGGAGAACAGTGGTCTTGCACCTTGGAAGTTGGAACTATCACGGCAACACTCTAGGGTAAACCCAAAAAAAGTTCTCAAACAGAAAAGGTGGAACTACTACTGTAAGAAAACAATCGACAAGACAACATAAAACATATGCACTAAAATAGAGAATCTGAACAGTAAATTACGTCAAAAGTTTCAATTTTGCATCCTACAACAGTACAATTGATTTCTATGACTACATGCATCTAAGTTTCACAAGGTCTACACAATTTTGACAAGAGAACAAAACTAGTCAATGAAGGTAAACAAATGATCCACTTACAAAGACCAGTTCCTCCACGGTTCAACCCTCAAAAACCGGAAAAGGCTGTATATATCCTCCAAGTTGTTCTGCCATCAGAGTAAAACTCGTAAAAAACATTGAATGCATAAGCACCTAAGAGGCTGATAGATGCAGGAAAACTAGGAGTGCACATTCTATTTATCTGCTGCAACATTCTTATGAAAACTAGGGTTAAATAGGATTGGTTCAATTATATGGACAGTCAAATCTACTCCTGTATTCACCTGAATAGGTGTACCAGTAAGACACCAACGCCGATCAGCCGTAAGAGCAGCAGCAGCGAGGGATATTAAACTTTTGGGAGATTTTATCATGTGTGCTTCATCCAGCACAACTCTAAACCAATGTATAGAGTACAGACCCCCACTTTCTGTTGAATTCTGCAAGAAAGCACGCAGACTTCGGTCAAGAATCAGATCGCATAATCAAACAAAGTATAAAATAGCAGTAGTGACCAAAACAGTTTTCATCATTTGCATATAAAAATCCTCATCCCTAAACCAAATTGTAAGAAAGCCAAACTTCTAAACCAACAGATTATATAGGCACAAGTGCACAACATAACCAAACAAATATTTACCCTTGGCAGAAAATGTGAATGAAGGAAGAACACAAGCAAAGTGATGATGTGCTATCTGTATTCCATTGAACTCTCTTTAGTCTTTACAAATAACCCAAGTAAATACCCCCTTGGATCATAAATATTTGATGCTTAGGGCAAGATTCGGTCAAATTTTTACAATTGCAACCATCAATATTTTCTAAAATGCTTAGTTTAAAAACAAAATAAATGACAGATTTTATAAACTTATTCTAATATAAAATTGATGGTAAGAATTTGAAAAGTTTGACCAAATTTTGTCCTAAATTATGAACAGAGGGTGTAGTAGCATATGCCAAAGCCTAACAATGGGTCAAGTGGTATACAAACAAGTCAGCCACATGTGCTGGTGCCAATGAAAAAGACTTCAGCAAATGCTTCAGCATACTAATAATATATTGAAGACAGGTGTGACTGTATTCTATAAAATCTCAGATGTTACCTCGTTTGAAAATTCCGATGACAGAACACCATATGTAGTCAGGACAATATCACTCTGACCAATAAGGTTTGCTTCTTTTGGTCTGTTTTGCCCATAATGAACATATATACTTACAGAACCTGGTGTAGCATGAGCTTCAATTTCTGCCTGTTTGGGAAAAAATAAAAATTTGAGAATTTAAGACAATAGTTCTAACAACACATTTAGGAACAAGTCCAGCTTACATTTCCAATTATTTCTACAAGTACTAAATGTGCATAAAAATAGCTCAATAGACAAAGTTGAAATGGTGACAGTGCCAGATTCATACCTTCCACTGACCAAGTAGTGTCATTGGGCAGACAATTAGATTGCCGCCTGCAATAAGCGGGGTTTTAGGTTTCCTAAGCTTACTAAAAGAGAAAGGGATAGCTAGCTTCTTCACATCATCATGAGGCTGAACTGGCAATTCACCCAGTCCACTAGCTTCTTCACATATGTGAGTAGAATGCTGAGTAGTGATGCATCCTTTGCTAGAGTCGGCAAGAAGAAGAGCTATTGTCATAATAGTCTTCCCCAGTCCCATTGCATCTGCCAGAATCTTATAATTTATTGTTCAGTTAATAAAATGGATATGCTAAAACCAGAAATTATAATTATCGAAAGAAAGGAAGGATGTATAATATTGAGAAGATCCTTACCCCTCCTCTTGCAAGTTGCAGTGTACTAGGAAATTCAGTGGTGGCATCGCCTGAAAATACATTCAAGTATAAAACAAGCTCCCTCCTGAAATGAATGCAGTATAAACGTCCTAATGTTAATTTCAAAAAATCATTGTAATAGAGAAACGGCTCAAACAATATAACCAAGCCATACTTGTCCTCGAGTTTATATGCCTCCCAACAAGGGTGCAGCGTTGTAGCTGCATCCTGAGAAGAACTGCCTTTCTCAAGCTGCATCATCCAATAAAATGCCTGCTTCTGATAAGGGCGTAAATCACACTGCAGAGCATCAGGGGGGTCCCTTTCCTACAAAATATAAATTAGCGCACTGCTGAAGTCATACAATAAGCTTGTCTCTGAAACTTTCAACAAACAGATAAGTTCAATTACCTCCAAAGCAGAACTGTCTGAGATTCCAATTATATCATCCAATTCTGAATCTGAAACAATTCTTTCAGCATGATCATCTTCGTTTCCATCAGACGATAATCTCAACTTCTCAGTAGTCAACTTTGTGGCAGGTGCACTGCTCTGCTGAGGCAGATGTGAGGCCAACCTTTATGACAGTACCTAGCATTGCTTATGAAACAGTAATAGTTTACCTTTGTTTCAAGCGGACGCTTTCTGGAATAGAGATCTTCTGGAGTAAATGCTGCCTGGTTTTGATTAGAACAAAAAAGAGAAGATCTTAACAATTAAAATATGCTGTTTTTTTTTTTTTGCAAAAGAGCAAGCAGGCTTAAAAAGAAACAACCATATGGTTTTCTACGTTACCTATTTATACATATATCAGTGCTGAGCAGAATAGTACCCTTTTTCATACTTTTCAATTTTTTTACAATGTTTATCAGTGATAATTTTATCCATTCCAAGAGTGTAATTATAGCGGTGAACTTTGTGAAGCATCAAGAAGCAACTTGGCATCAATTTGATCGAATGATAGACAGTTGACACTCAACTTCGAGCCAAAGATGACTAAAACTTACTGAGTGGGGTTCTACACCCATGCGTACCATGATCTAAAGCAGTCTCAATTCTTCTAACAAGAAACTTTGGCAGCACTTTTTTTTATATATTTTGCTAGATAACACAATGAACAAGAGACACATAAGCCAAACAACACTCACCTTCTTAAAGGGCGAAAGACCAGTTAACTTGAAAAGTGCAGGCAGCGGATGAAACGTGGAATCCTCGGTAGCAGCCCGAGCAGCCTTGGGTGTCGATTGCTTTTGGCCATGAAACATTGAGCTGTTGATGTAGACACTACAGAGCACACAGCCACAATCACAATAACATAGATGGAACAGCAGAACTGCATATGGATTATAGTAACTTTAAGATGCAATTCTTCAGATACCTTACGGACAAGAGGACAGTGTCCATGATGCTAAGTACTTCGGGAGCGGATTTGCATACGCCATCGATTTTTATCTTCCCCTCCTTGAGAAGGGGGAGCAGGCACCTCGCCCATTCATTGGGGATTCGACCGACCTAAACAACAACAAAAATCGTGAGACCACGGTGATTCGCGAAAGCGGGAGTGATGAATCGAATGTACCTCCCCATGGCGCGGGGTGGAGAAGCGCATGATCTCGGAGGAGCAGGAAACGAGGGCGGGGCGGCCGGAACGGCTCTTGCCCCCGGCGGCGGCGGCGACCGGGGAGTTGGGGAACGAGAAAGTGACGGCATCCCCGGAGGCAACGCGCCGGCCCTTGCACGTGGACAGCCCCGCCATCTCCACGCTCCCCACCAACCACCAATGTTCGCCGCCGCCGCCGCCATTGGTGGATTCGGGCGCGACACTGGGCCTAGGTTTCTCTGCCGCCGCCGCCGCCGGCTTCGAACGGGCAGGGGTTTTGGTTGGCGGGGTCGATTCGGGGTGGGGTTTGGTGGGTTTACCCGCCGGAGGCGAAGGCGACGGCGACGGTGACGGCGGCGGCGGCGGCGGCGGCCCGTGGGGAAAGTCGAGGAGGATGTTGATGGCCCTGGTGGGGTCGTCGCCGGCCATGTGGAGCGCGCGGATGATGTCCATCTCCGGCGTCCCATCGCCGAGCACCGCGCGCACCGTCGCCACCTGCTCCTCCCTTCCCCTCTCCTTCCCCATCTTCCGGCGACGCTGCTCGCCGTGAGATTTTTCTCTCCTCTTCTCTTTTTTTTTTTCCTCTCAAACCCTCCCGCTTCGGCTTCGCGCCACCGCCTATAGCTTTCGCGGGAAGCTTGCCCTTTTGGGGTCCAACGCGATGGGAGTTGCCCAGGTTTGTGCTGAGATGGATCTACTTTCTTTTTCATGAATTCAGATACGCGATTTTAAACCCAAAAAAGTTTACGGATTGTTTGCTAATTCCAATGATATTTTCCTTTTGCTCTCATTAGCCCATATTTTCAGGTGTATCTGTGATTAGTTTTGAGACAGGATTTCTGAGTTGGTTTTAACATAATCTAATAGCGGAGAATTTGGTTCAGAAAAAAATGACCCAGTCAGAGTTCAGACTTCAGACTTCAGAGTCGTTTTTAGAGGAAACATTAGCATCTTTGGTGGCACCACCTTTCTACAAGATTGCGGGCGTGAGTATGGTCCGTTCTTTTCTCCAACAAGAGTTGGATGAATATTAAGATTTTCATGTCATATTTTTCAAACTATTAAACGGTGTGTTTCGTGCAAAAAAAAACTTTATATATGAAAGTTGCTCTAAATATCATATTAATCTATTTTCAAGTTTGTAATAGTTAAAACTCAATTAATCATACTTTAATACCATCTCGTTTTACGTAAAAAATTTAATCTTAATCTTAATTTTAATCTACATCTTAAGGAGAAAATAAGCAAAAGACTGATCCAGTCAACAGCGCAGACAAACACGGTCAATAACACACAGTTAACTCACAATTTTCATGAAGTTTCGCTTAATTTACAAATTAGAACCAGTGAATTACAAGATAGGCAATTGTACTTGTACCGCACAATTTTTTGCCCAAAAATATCGCAAGAATTTTATATGGTTTAAATTAACTTCTATGGAAACTTATAGCATTTCTGTGTTCCGGATAAATAATAATCCTTAAGTAGCACAAAAGATGCTATTTTTTTTACCGTCCTGGAAAAGTGAAATGAGGTTGTTTCAAAAGCAATTTCAAATGTGAAGTGAGCGTAGCTTAACTGACTGGGGGCATGTTTAGCACAGCTCCAGCTCTAGCTCCACCCCTTTTGGAGCTGGAGCTCAGCCAAATAGTTTCAGCTCCATAAAAAATAGAAGTAGAGCTGGGTGTAGCTCTCTCATAAAAAGAACTATAGTTGTGGAGCTGGGTTTAGGCAGTTCCACAACTCCACTCCAAACCCAACTCCTAAAGCTAAATTTAGGAGTTGTAGCTATACCAAATATGGCCTAGGCTTCTTATGATTGAATCAACCCATATGAATTTAAGTCCTAAATTTGATATTGATACTCGTATTTACGGTTAATTATTTTTCAGTAATAGACAATGTACTTGTCAGCAGTAAAGCGCCCACGGTTCATGAATTTGTATGCATGTTTCTTTAAAAAACAAATCTTAGATGAATTTGTATGGGATCGTCTGGTAGGAATAAGTTCATCTAAAGTCCCTTAATCTGTCAACGAATCCGATTTTCGTCCTTCAACCGTAAAACCAGATACAACAGGTCCCTCAACTATCAAAACCGATGCAGATTAGATCCCTCGGCAGTTTTGAAGGTGGTTTTGGTCTCAATCTGACGTGGCATTGACGTGGCGCTTACGTGACAATTCGATCCAGAAAAATAATAAAGCTCGTGGGACCCACATGTCAGTTTCACATAGAAATTAATAAAAAATGGTGGGGCCCACGTGGTCCCCACATGTCATCCTCACCCCTCTTCTTCCTCCTCTCTCCCCATCTCCCCTCTCTTCATCTCTCTCTTTCCTCACTGACGGTGGAGCGGGGTGGCGGCGACTAGACCCTGCCACCCTAGTGGAGGGCGGCAAGCTGACGTGGCAGACGGCGGCTCAACGGCGCCGTGTGCATATTTTGCGCTTTGGTCCTTGCCGCCCTTACAGAGGGCTGCAAGGGGCGAAATGCAATTTGCGCAGCTAGAAAGAAGCATTTGGCTGGTTTTTTTGCATCTAGGCCCCTTGCCGCAGCCAAATGCTTCTTTCCAGCTCTATTGATAATGGCCCTTCCCGAGCTGGCTTTTTTGCATGGAGGCCCCTTGCCGCCCTCTGTAAAGGCGGCAAGGGTGTTAATGCAAAAAATTCAACTTTTTCAATCGGCCGTCACCGCCCGTCGAGCCGCCGTCTGTCACGTCAGCTTGCCGCCCTTCACTAGGGCGGCAGGGTCTATTTTTGTAAATTTTTCTAACGATAGATTATTTGTGTAAATATTTTTTTAAAAAAAATTAAAAATGAAAAAAATTCGCCGGTAGGGCACATATGCAGGCTTTGCTTCCTTGATGGGCTCCGATTAGTACGGCCGTCTCGAAGAGAAGCCGATAATCATCGGCCCGGTAGGACCCCTGTTTGGAGCAACAGGTCATGTCAGCCTCTTGGGCTTTTGGCCCCTAGAAACTGGGTCCTAACGGGCCTGATCAACTCGGCCTATAGCCTATCTGGTTAGGTGGCCTGCCTTGTCTCGCTTATTATGAGTTAGCCTGTTTCTGGAGTTCACTAGCCACGTTAGCGTCACATAATAAGCGGACTCAATACTGTCTTAAGGACTTCATTTGTACTCGGTTTTACGATTAAGGGACAAAAATTAAACTCGCCCTATAATTGATGGAGGCAAAATGATCTTTGCTGGCAGTCCGCAAAATGTACTCCAGAATGCACAACACGAAAAGTCACTAACCAAAAACACTTAAAATAACTTAAGTTTTTTCCCCTAGGATAAATACAACAATTGAGCCTGGTATAAGAATATAGGTAATACATGTCATCAAAAAAGTATTCCCTTGCAACATTTTTATAGTTAAGTGTGCACATATTTATATGAGTGTTAATTAATCCTCTAAAAAGTCAAATACCATAAAGGCTTAATCCTCTAAAATAACTTTCTATTACTCTTTTTTTTTCCTTTCTCTGGCATCATTCAGGGAAATTTTGTTTAATCTCGCGCTAAGAATCGATGTTAGCTTAACATCCATGTTTTTCTCCCCTCCACGTCAGTAGATTTGTAGTTGGCAGTTTATGGGCAGCCTATTATTTTTAAGACAACGCTAGCTATTGTATTGTATATGCCCTTTTACAATATGCAAGTTAAAATTAGGCCTATTTAAATTCCACATTAAAATTTTTTATCCTGTCACATCGAACATTTGAACATCTGCGTGAAGTATTAAACATAGGCTAAAGAATAACTAATTGCACAAATTGTGATTAATTTGCGAGACGAATCTTTTCAAACCTAATTGCTCCATGGTTTGACAATGTGGTGCTATAGTAAATATTTGCTAATGATAGATTAATTAGGCTTAATAATTTCGTCTCGCAGTTTACAAGCGGATTATGTAATTTGTTTTGTTATTAGACTACGTTTAATACTTTAAATGTGTGTCCGTATATCTGATGTAACACGCCAAAACTTTACACCCCTATATCTAAACACCCTCTTAATCGAATTTTACTATAAGACAAGGTACGGTGACAAGAGAATTGTTCCATGAAACTTCATATTACACTTTTTAGGTTTTCTTTTTGAAAAGGTAATGACTGGTGGCATGTAAGGATAATGTATCTCTAGTTTATCGTCTACTACAGTCATTTTCTTTTTCCTTTATTATTACATAGTGTATATATTCGTAATATTACAAAATTATTTGTGAAAACGTATCTATTTTTATCTCAGTTTAAAGGAAGCTTTCACCAAATCACCACAATTAGCACGTAGAAGTAGTAGTACTGCATTTCACAGCAACAACTATTTTTCATGGCCAACTATGCACGTGAACCGGCAGCATATGGTGCAGATGCAAAGAAGCTTACATAGGACGGAATAAAACCGGCGAGTTAATAATACCATTGGTGTAGCCATCGAAACAAAAAGTAGGATTAACTGAGGCGACACTGCACCTATCCGTTGTAATTAACAACACTGATTGCACATGCGGACACGGTATTATTATCAACATGTTCACCGGAACACCGAACATTGCGTGCAGCTGTGGCGGAAAACTGCAACCTATGAGAATTATACATTTGTACTCTTATTACCATGTTTCTTTTATTTATTTTTAGTTGCTAGTACTGCTAATGCTAGCTGATAGTTTAGATGTGTTCCGTGGTTCTTCTGTTGGTTCTTGATGAAATCTTGATAGTGCGTAGGTTTAATATTAACTGATTAATGTAGAGCCTAGGATGAAAAATCATTAAAGATGGCAACAAGTTACTGACAATTTTTATTCTCTTTGCTTGGTGCAATTTCCTTTAATCTAGTCTACAGTAACTTTGCGCTCAGAATTAATTAATAACTAGAAATTGTCGCGCCAGTTGGCACGACCGTTATTTCATAGCCCATCTATATGCTTGTGGTCTTCTTTTAACCCGAAGTGAAACTTTATTAATAGTTTAACCAAGTTTATTTAGCAGAAAAAATATATTCAGTGGTGGTTCATTTACTGTTGTAAATATTGCTACATTTTTCTATTAACTTGGCCAAAATCGAAATGCTTTGACTTGAAAAAAATACCTTGCACTCTAAAACAGGTGGAGTACTTAATTGGCGTCCAATTTTTATTAGCTTATAATAGGCTAATAAATAAGGTATTCAGTGGTTTTATTGGCTGGTGCTATTTTGTTTATTACAAACTGATGGATGGATGAAGATAATACCACAAGTATACAGTGGAATAGTGAAATATTTAGAAGACCGATGAATAAAATTTGGCTGAAATGCACCAGTCGGTTTCTATTTGCTGGTGGAAGAAACTGTTGCAAGCCGATTTTCCTTAAATCGCTTATCATCTCAACGTAGTAAGTTAACTGAGAAAAAGCTATGCGATCAAAGACCTTAATTTTTTCCATCTTTTATTGAACATAACACACTAAGTTAGGAGACGTACCAATTGATGTGGTAACTTTTAGCTTCCACGTACGTAATCTCTTGATTTGATTCCTTGTCAGGCTTGATTTATCATATAATTTATTTTATGCTTTTTTACACAGTAGAACAATAAAAATAATAAAACAACATGAATTTAACATGTAGCACAGTTATACGCAAACTGATTATTTGCGCAAGCTGATTACTG